TGGGTGGATTTTGGGCATATTTTGGTCATTTTTTGGGCAGATTTTGGGCAGTTTTGGTACCTGGTCGGTGACGTTGATGTCCACGTACTCGCAGAAGGCGTAGCCCTTGCTCAGCCCCGTGGCGCTGTCCTTGACCAGGTTAAAGGCCTTGAGGGGCCCGAAGGACGTCAGCAGCTCCTTCACCTGCCGGGAATTTGGGAATTCCGGGAATTCCGGGAATTTTGGGAACCTCCTGGATTGGGAATTCCCCTCCCCAAAACCCCCTGGGGGTCCCAGTCGCTCCCGTCCCGATCCGTGGGCTGAATTCCAGCTCAATTTTGGGGATTTTTGGGGAATTTTGGGGTGTGGGAATTATCCTGGGATTGGGGAATTCCCTCTGGATTTGGGAATTCCCTCTGGATTTGGGAATTCCTCCTGGGATTGGGGAATTCCCTCTGGATTTGGGAATTCCTCCTGGGATTGGGGAATTCCCTCTGGATTTGGGAATTCCTCCTTGGGTTTGGAATTCCCTCCCGGAATTCGGGAATTCCCCTCTTGGGATTTGGGAATTCCCTCCCTGGGATTTGGGAATTCCTCCTGGGATTTGGGAATTCCCCTCCTGGGATTTGGGAATTCCTCCTGGGATTTGGGAATTCCTCCTGGGATTTGGGAATTCCTCCCTCTGGATTTGGGAATTCCCTCTGGATTTGGGAATTCCTCCCTGGGATTTGGGAATTCCTCCCTCTGGATTTGGGAATTCTCCTGGGATTGGGAATTCCCTCCTGGGATTTGGGAATTCCTCCTGGGATTTGGGAATTCCTCCTGGGATTTGGGATTCCCTCCCGGAATTCGGGAATTCCCCTCCTGGGATTCGGGAATTCCCCTCCTGGGATTTGGGAATTCCCCCCCCGGGATTTGGGAAATTTTGGGGGGATTTTTTGAGGGGAATTTTGGGGGGATTTTGAGGGAACTTTGAGGGAATTTTGGGAAGATTTTAGGGGGGATTTTTTAAGGAGGTTTTGGGGGAATTTTTGGGGGGATTTTGAGGGATTTTTGGGGGATTTTGAGGGAATTTTGGGAAACTTTGAGGGAATTTTTGGGGGGGATTTTTGGGGCGATTTTGGGTGGATTTTAGGGGGGATTTTGGGGAGGTTTTGAGAGATTTTTGAAGGATTTTGAGGGATTTTTGGGGGAATTTTGGGGGATTTTAGGGGGGATTTTTGGAGGATTTTTGGGGGATTTTTGGGAGGGATTTTTGGAGGATTTTGGGGTTTTTTGGGGGATTTTTGGGGCTCCCCCCCTCACCTGGTCGTCGTTCAGGTAATTGGGGAGGCCCCCAATGAAGAGTTTGTGGGCGGAGTCCGGAACCACCGTGGAGACCACACCTGGAAAAGGCCAAAAATGCCCCAAATTTCAGCCCTGGAGCCCCAAAATTCCACCTGGGACCCCAAAATTCCACCTGGGAGCCCAAAATTCCACCTGGGACCCCAAATATCAAACAGGAAACCACAGGAAACAAAAAAACCCACAGGAAACCCCAAAAAAATCCCACCTGGAATCCCCAAAATTCCACCTGGGAACCCAAAATTTCACCTGGAATCCCAAAATTTCACCTGGAATCCCCAAATTTCCACCTGGAATCCCAAAATTCCACCTGGGACACCCAAAATTCCACCTGGGAACCCAAAATTCCATCTAGGACCCCAAAAAATTCACCTGGAATCCCAAAATTTCACCTGGGAACCCAAAATTTCACCTGGGACCCCAAAAATTTCACCTGGAATCCCAAAATTTCCACCTGGAATCCCCAAATTTCCACCTGGAAACCCAAAAATTCCACCTGGGACCCCAAAATTCCACCTGGGACCCCAAAAATTCCACCTGGGAACCCAAAAAATTCACCTGGAATCCCAAAATTTCACCTGGGATCCCAAAATTCACCTGGGAACCCAAAAATTCCACCTGGGACCCCAAAAATTCCTCCCTAGAACTTGGGAGCATCCCTGATTTTTAGGGTAATTTTGGGGTGACTTCAGGGTATTTTCGGGGTATTTTTGGAGAGATTTTAGGGGATTTTTGGGGGGATTTTGGGGGATTTATGGAGGATTTTTGGGGTAATTTTGGGGGATTTTGGGGTATTTATGGGGGAATTTTTGTGGGGATTTTTGGGGTATTTTTGTGGTATTTTGGGGGTAATTTTGGAGTATTTCTGGAGGAATTTTTGGGAGATTTTTGGGATATTTTTGGGGTGATTTTGGGATATTTTTGGGATATTTTTGGGGTGATTTTGGGGGATTTTGGGGCTCTCACCGGGCACGTAGACCAAGGGGTTTTCGGACATCCCGGGCAGGGGTTGGGGGATTTTTGGGGGGATTTTTTGGGTAATTTTC